CATCTATAAAAGGAAGAAAATTCAAAAGGGCCAATAAGTAAAAGTTTGGAGCTGTTCTGGTTGAAGACATCACGATAGCACCAGAATTCCATTACTTGATCTCCCCTTTGGTTCTCTCCATTTCTCCCTGTAGCCAAAGATGGCTGTAGATAGACCTTGGCAGAACCCAAAGGCTGTGTGGACTACAGAGTGACAATCAATAGGTTCTGTGATTTCTAAGGCCCTTCCTACTAAAACATTCTCTACTTACACACTTGCACCCAGTACACAGCAGATGCTCCCTGAATGCTGAGTGAATTGAACTTGAAATTGTTTGCTCAGTGATCTCGAAAAACTTTTATAAGAGCATATATTTCTAGGTGGCTTATTCATTTTTTAGCTTACTCATTTTTTTAGCAAATAGAACCAAATTTTAAGCCAATTTTAAAAATTAGGATACCTCTTAATAAATTGTATGACTTCAGGTTTCTATTGTTAATATCCACTTAGAGATACTTATGGTTACTCTTTCTAATTACTTACATCAGTCTCAGACTATGTCTTGCTTTTTTTATCTAAGTCAACTAGAACAGGTGGCAGAGTGTAAATTGTCTTTTTTGGAGTCGCTTTGGGTTCTAATCCCAGCTCTAACATTTACTCTTGGTGGGACCTGGAGCAAAACTTTAACCTTTACACCCTCTTCATCTGAAAGACAGGAATAGGGATGTAGGAACAAGACTGTTGGAACAGCGACTGGCAACTAATAAGTGCTCCATAAATGACAATTGTAGTTATTATTATTTTTTAAATCGATCCAAGTAAGGGACAGATTACATAGCATATCCCAGAAGACTAGAAGGTATAGAGCATAGGAAAAAGCTAGAAAATCCATAAAATGATTTTTTTTCAAGTTTTTAAGATTTTATTTTAAAGTGATCTCTACACCTAACATGGGCAAACTCATAACCCTAAGATTAAGAGTTTCATGTTCTACCAACTGAGCCAGCCAGAAGCCCACATAAAATTATTAAATAACATATACTATATAGTAAATAACAAAAATAATAATAAATGAAGTAACACATATGAGGCATATTGAATAATTTTAGAACACTATAAGCTCTCGATAATTAATAACAATCGTTATCACTACATTTCATGATAGAACTACCTAAACATTTCTAAGGCCATGGATGAGACAGTTCCTAAAAAGTTAAAAGGCATTAAATAAATAAAAATTATAATTTATCTCCTTAACAGAAGAAATAGTCCTTCATGCCAGCAATCTGAAGCAATTATTATGAGTTCTCTCTGGAAAGAGATTTATCTAATAATTGCGGCAGAATTTTCCATCTTTCTAATTTTGGCACCTTATCAGAGGAAAGGCAAGACTATGTAATCATGGATAGAATGAAAAACAGAAATAGCTTTACCTCAAGTATTTCCAGGCAGTTTATTATTTTTTTAAGATTTTATGTATTTATTTGGCAGACAGAGATCACAAGTAGTCAGAGAGTCAAGCAGAGAGAGAGGGAGGGAAGCAGGCTCCCTTCTGAGCAGAGAGCCCAACGTGGACCCTGAGTCCAGACCTGAGCCGGAGGCAGAGGCTTAACCCACTGAGCCACCCAGGCACCCCTATGTAATATCTTTTCATTTACATTTCTTTCTCTCATAGTTTTTTAGTTGTAAGATTTTATTCATGCTTTGCATTTCAGTTTATAATTATTACTGAACTACTCTGAAAGACATATCTCTAAGTTTCTTATGCTACAAGTTTAGCCAGGTATACAGTCTTTGCCTTTGACAGGCACCAGGCAATTTATTTTTTAATGTTGACATACGGATGGTAAACAAAGGTACACAAATGGAAACTTATGAAGTTTCCCTCTTAGCCCAGTTGGTTTAAGGATGACTTTTTAGAAAATTTTTCAACAGGCAAAATTACCAGAAAGGAAAAGAGGAAAGTACAGAAAACACAAATGTATCATTATGTCATGAGAGATGCTAAAGAACACAGTAATATTGTGTGACATTTCCTCAGATGCCTTTCCTCCTCCCAAGCAGTCTCCCATTATACATATTAAACCACATTAAGTCGTGAGTCATTTCAAAACTTGAGGGTAGGAGGTGGATATTAATAAAAAAATAGAGACACCCAGGATTTCTACATGAATTCTCCTCCCAAGAACACCAAGTAATCTCTCTAATTTCACAACACTCCTGGGAAGAGCAGGCAAATGGGCACTGCTCCTGCTCACTGGCCTGGAAAGTTTCACAGGAAAGTGGAGTGAACGTACACCATGGGGTTCCACTGCACTGTAACCCCTCTTTCTTCTCATCTCTTAGTAAAGGGAAAACTGGGGATGATGAGAAATATCTCTGATAAAATGGGTGATTTAAACTGCTTATTGATCAGCTATAAAATGTTTCGTGGGCACTCTTTTAACAGAGATAACAAAACACAGTACATCCCCAATTTCAGTATTGTAAGTATAATTTATGAATATAGGTCTTTATTACAAAAGTGGACTCACTGTATATACCATTTATAGCCTGCTCTTTGGCAGGTAACAGCCCATTTGTAAACAACCTTCATACATCTATATCAACATTTGCAAAGGCTGCAGTGTATTCCGCTTATAAATCTATCCTAACTTACTTACTTTTGGAAATCTATCCCTAAGACCAGGCATGAATATGTTTCTTTGAAAAATGCAGGGAAAAAATCACAAAAATAAATATAGATTGTTTCCTTCAGCAAATAATTGTCACTCCCATAGGAATCTCCATGAAAGACAGCATCGTCACACTCAAGCACCAAAATTCACAGAGGGACAACAAATTAGCAATGCCAATCGTATGTGGTCAGCCACTCCTATAAACTGGGGCAGCATTTCTCTAGAGATTAATTTGGTTAAATATATGAAAGTCCTAAAACTGTAAATACCCTCTGCCCTAACAGCTCTCCCCCCTCCACGACCCTAGAGATGTATCCTTAGTTTATAATGGATAAGTTATAAAGCAGTCTATACAAGGCAGGAGGTTAAACAACAGTGAGAAAAAGGGAGTAATCTACATACCCACGAAAAGAGAACAGTTTCTTTCCTTATTTATCTAAAGATTTTATTTATTTATTTCTGTGTCAGAGAGAGAATGAGAGCAAGAGCAAGAGGGGGCACAAGTGGGGGTAGGGGCAGGCAGAGGGAGAAGCAGGCTCCCCACGGAGCAGGGAGCCTGATGCAGGACTTGATCCCAGAATGCCAGGATCATGACCTGAGCCAAAGGCAGACGCTTAACGAGCTAAGCCACCAGGTGTCCCAAAAAGAGAACAATTGAAATAAATTGGGATATATCCAAAGTAGGTACTCTGAAGCCTTAAAAATGATGAGGCAGATTATGGAACAATATTCAAGATATAGGATTCTGTTTAAAAAACAAAACAAAACATGCTATGTCAACATGTGTGTACATGTGTGGCTTGAAGAGATAAAACCCAAAATACAAGTAGTGGTTCTCCCTGGGTTATGAGGTTATAGAAGACTCCTTCATGTTCACCAGATTTTTTAATTTATATAAAATGGACACAGATACTTAAAGTAGAAATTAACATGAACACTTTTGATAGAATGTGGTACATGCTATTATAAAGATAAATAAAGGGTGCTCCATAAGCCCTCCTAATACTCTGAAACTGAGAGGAAGACAGGGTATGGCCTCCCAAGTTAGTGCCACTAACATGAACTCTTCAAGGATTCATGGCAGTCAGCCAAGTTAAAGAGAAAGAGCATTCTAAAATGTGGGAAAGGGCTCAGTCAGTTAAGTGTCAGACTCTCGATCTCAGCTCAGGTCCTGAGCTCACGGTCATGAGTTCAAGCCTTGCATTGGGCTCCACGTGGAGCCTACTTAAAAAAAAATTAAAAAAAATAAGAGAAAGTAAAATAAGATAAAATACAGGAAAGCCTGGGAGGGATGTGATAACATGATCCAACTGAAGCAGTTTAAGTAGTTCCAGGGGGCAGAGAGGGCACCTGAAGTAAGAACAAACAGTTCCTGCTAGCTTTTGAAATAGGTGGATTCACTTTTGACCTAAGCTGGCACAACTTCAGGGAGAAGGTGAAGGCAGAAGCCACATAGATGCTCACAAGCTAAGGAATGAATGGGAGGTAAACAAGTGTTGGTGAAGGGGAACACTAGAGAAGTACATGTGTGACAGTGAAGAGAGGAACAATGGGATCCAATACTGGATTACAGGTTTCTTTTCTTTTTCTTTTTTTTTTTTTAAGATTTTATTTATTTATTTGACAGAGAGAGCATAAGCAGAGGGAGAAGCAGGCAGAGGGAGGGAGAGGCAGACTCCCCACTGAGCAAGGAGCCTGATGCTGGGCTCAATCCAGGACCCTGGGATCATGACCTGAGCCGAACGCAGGCACTTTCTGACTGAGGCATCCAGGCACCACTTTCTCTTTTTAAAGATTTTTACTTATATATTTGTCAGAGAGTGAGAGAGAGAGCACGAGTGAGGGGAGAAGGAGAAGGAGAGGAAGAAACAGGCTCCCCACTGAGCAGGGAGCCCAATGCAGGACTCAATCCCAGGACCCTGAGATCAGGACCTGAGCTAAAGGCAGACACTTAACAGACTGAGCCACCCAATCCAGGTGTTCCAGGATTATTTTCTAAGTTGGGAGAGCTGAAGGATGGTCACAGGAGAGAGCGCCAATATAAGGAGAGGTTGATTGGGAAAAAAGAGAAAAGGAATGAGAAGGTATGGATGACAGTTTGATATTCCCAGGTGGGGGAGGTGAGGGGAATCCAGCACAGAATGGAAGGCTTAGGACTCTACAGTCAGTCCAGTGGGATCACAGGAAATCCCCAAGCCTCAAACTACAAAGTCAATTCCTGGAAGGAATCATGACTTCACTTTCTTAGAACACAGGACCAGTGAACAGCTGTGGCCAAGAGAACCCAGAAAATATTTAGTATAATCAGAAAATGTGGTATAAACAAAGCAATAATTATCTCACCTCTGTATGACAAGAAATTTGTGTGAAACTTCTATCACTCCACCTAAGGAAAGACGTAACAGTATTAGAAAAGGTGCAGAAGACAGAAACCAAAGTGTTGAAGCAGACGGCAGTAGATTTGAACTTTTCACCAAGAAAAAACAAAGCTCATTAAGGGCATATTTTATGTTAGTGGCTTCTCATCTTTCTGAGTATGAAAACCTTATCAAAATTGTTTGAGAATACATGTTACAGTATTTAAACACTTAATAATTATTGATTGGGAAAATACATTATGACAAAAAGTGTTTAGAAATGAATCATTTTATAATTAACTTGCACTTAATTCATCTCAGCACTATCTACATATATCTGGTACATGTGTATTTATGTCTGACATTATATATTTATCCTACCAGAGATAGTTTGGCCACACATGAAATTGCAACCCCCTTGTGATAATTCTGCACTATTAACCACCATCCTGCACATGCCCAGGATCCTCGTATCATATTCGAGAACCACTGTCCCAGTTTATAAAACCCAGAATTGGATGAATATGCATCTCATCAGCTAATAACCAAAAACTAGAATTAAAGTATGAAACTTGAAAGACGTATGTTAGGAACATAGTAGTCTTTTGGAAGATTTATAAACATTATCTCAAGCAATATAAAATGAAATACAACCTGGCTGGCTCAGTTGGTTAAGCATCCAACTCTTGGTTCTGCTCAGGTCATGATCTCAGGGTTCACACTCAAGCGGGGAATCTGTTGGAGATTCTCTCTCTCCTTTGGTCTGCCCCTCCCCACCATTCCCTCTCTCTCTAATAAATAAATCTTTTAAAACTATATAAAATGAAAATAGAATTGTTTCCAAAATGTTTATATAAGCCACTAAATGATATTTCTGTATTGTGTTTTAAAGAAAAGCTGTGTGTTTCTAAGCCTTTGCAATGACGTCAGAGAGTGTAACAGTGATAGAGCTACAACTTGACATTTCTTGGTGTTGCTGAGCCAAACAAACTCTAAGTCCTGTCAATGTTAATTCCCACATTTGTATTCTAATCAGGCATAACAGAGAAGCACACATTCACTCAAAATATTCTTGGATAAAGAATGAATGAATCAATCAATGAATCAGTGAATTTGGAAAGGATGGGAAGTGGAAGAAAAGAAATCCAGTTTTAAGACTCAGTAATTTCACCATCCTAAAAATAATTTAAAGTATAGAAATCACTTAATGCCAGGTTCTAAGAATCAATCTCATCTGGATTTCCAGATAAAACAGAAACTATACAGATTAGAGAAAATGAAACAGAGAATGGTTTTACTTTTCAATTGACTAGAGTGTATTTTGAAATTTGCATATATAAAATGCCACTTGATGTATTTTCTAGGGAAATTCAGTCAGCTGGTTGTTCTGCTATTCCTTTAAACAGATCTAAACCTGCCTATTTAATCTCCCTATATAAGCTGCCTTTGAATCCAGCAACCTCCCTATTGACCACAATCTCCATACCTTACTCTACAAATTTCTGGACTAGACTTTCAAGAAGGAAAATGAGGGACAAGGTAATTATAATCTTCATGAATAATCTGTGTTCTAGCAAGATCTGCTTTTGTCATTAAATAAGAATATGGGGGCATTCCAGTCAATTAGTCAATAGATAAATAAAATTCTAAAATTTCAGTAAACTGGGATGGGAAAATAAACTTACATACTCTTCTTTTTTAAAATGAAAAACCAAACACTACATAGTTTTTCATTTTGATTTGTTTTAAAGAGTATGGTGCAGAGCCCAGTTTCCAGTTGTGGCTCTCCTAACGGCTATGTGGCCTTGGTTAATGAGCCCCTCTGGTCCTCAAACTCCTCTTTGACAATACGTGGAGGTTGTCAGCTGATCTTTAATATCTCTATGAGTACAAAAACTTCACTGACTCTGGTTATTAAGAAATTTCATCTATCTTCCAGGGTGCCTGGGTGGCACAGTGGGTTAAGCATCCAACTCTTGGTTTTGGTTCAGGTCATGATCTCAGTGTTGTGAGGTTGAGCTCCATGTTGGGCTCCATGCTCAGCACAGAGTCTGCTTGAGATCCACTCTTTCCTTCTGCCTCTCCCACTTGTGCTCTCTTGTTCTCTCTCTGAAATAAATAAAGAAATCTTTTTTTTTTAAGAGAAATTTCATCTATCTTCCATATTCTTCATGTTAAGTAAATGGTGAAATTTCTAACTGTGGTTCATCAAATCATCTTCTCATTCATTAACGAAGCCCCTAAAATGCTCCTGAATTGCTCCTGAAATTAACAGTATCTTTATACATTCTGAAATACAAAGACAAAATTGGAATCACTATAGGCCAGTCATTTCACATCCACATTTAGAAAAACATGAATCCATACATTGATTTAATATACAATTAAGCACTAAGTGGATGTCAGAATTAGCAAACACTGGGAGCACAGAGAGGAAATCTAGGGCTTTCCCTCAAACCTATTAGAATTAGAACAGGACAGGCTATTAACTCGATGTTTATAACTCACTGTGAAAATTGTTAGGATGGAATAATTATACACAGAGGAGTAATGCATGAAATTTTGATTGATTATGTCTTTCTTCAACTTGAGTCTAAGGTCCATGAGGGCAGAAACCCAGATTTTTCCAGTCACTATCCCCCAGGGCCTGGCCTATGACTAGTTCTCAAACCCAGAGAGGAAGACAAACCATAAGAGACTCTAAATCTCAGGAAACAAGCTGAGAGTTGCTGCGCTGTGGGGTGGGGTGGGAGGAATGCGGTGTCTGGGTGATGGACACTGGGGAGGGTATGTGAGTGCTGTGAGTTCTGTAAAACTGATGAATCACTGACCCGTACCCTGAAAACAAATAATACATTATATGTTAATTAAAAAAAATTTGTTGGGTGAACAAAAGAATGAATGAAAGGTCAAATCACAGGGACATTAAAGAAGTGAGCCTAAGTCTGCTAGAAAACAGATACAGTTAGGGGCAAGGTTAGAGGTTACCTTCTGAAAGCCCACATTATTCGACAGTTGTTTTTTCATTATACTGGAGACATAAAGAATAAAATTCAGCGATTTGCATTCCCCTTATTCACTCCAAAACACATTTTAAACATCATAGATCTAGGGCATTTATGAAAGTAGAGAATTTTCTATGTGGAAATCAATGCCTAGAACCTATACATTTATGTAAGAGAAAAGTGAACGGTCCAGATAGCAACCACTGCCACTTCTCATTTGGGCTCATTTACGTGACTTCTATCCCACTCTATCAAACTCCTCCCCCCCCAAAACAGACAGCATCACATTAAAAACCACTTTAGATTTATTACTATCATTTTTATATTTGCTGGTAGCTAAGGGCATGGAATCTGGAACCAGGTCCATTCTCTCTAGATATATGACCTTCAGCAAATTACTTTATCTTCTTGGTTTTTGTTTCCTGAGGAATAAAGGCAATAATATCACCACATAAGCTGCTAAAAAAAAAAATTAAATCAATTAATATGTGTAAACCTGTTGGAAGAGTGTCTGTCATACAATAAGTGCTAAGTGTCTGCTAGCTACATGAGGTAAATAAAATCAATATATCAGCCACTCCATTGAGTTGGAGCAGTGAAAGACAATGCATGATGAAGGCAATTTGGGGGGATTATGTTGGTGCATTTTTCAAAGCAGGAAGCTGAGGATTCAGAATATCCCAAAATAAAATGAATTGGTTGAACAGAGAACTTGAAGAGGGAGGTAAATTCTAGAACATACTGAAATGAACAAGTCGCCTAATTTCTTTCATTTTATCATAAGAAATATTATTATCAGGGAAAGTGAAGGCTCCAAGTTAGAACAGATAGGAACAGTAATATTATTTTTGAAGTTGTGCATAAAGATTATTTTTAAAGGTACAAGGTTTGGCAAAATCTAGTGAAAAGGGCTAAAAACCCAGCCAGTAAGTGCATTCATAAGATTTTGTAAGGACCTATTTAGAAACTGTCCCTGCTCCCCTTCCCCCAGGGGATTTACTTGGAGACAAGTCCCGGAAATCAGCTTCAGGTAACAAAGCCCAGATACAAAGGTGGGTCAGGCCAGGTGGAGACATCTGATCAGTGGGGGGATGCATACTGTCTCCCTGGTTACCAAGGAGTATGGGCCCCGCCCTTTGGGCGCCAATCCCAATCAAGGTGTAATAGGCTGGTTCAAATGTCTACTACGGTAAATTGTAACTCAGTTGGTCACCTAGCATCACTGTGGAGTTTCCTGTGTGTGTTACAATCTCATTGGCCGCCTGTGTGTGGCCAAGCCTGACCGCATGGCCTTTGCCCTTAAAAGCTAGTCTGTTTGCAAATGACAGTACAGGCAAAAGATTGATATCCAGGATCTATAAAGAACTCCTCAAACTCAACACACACAAAACAGACAATCATATAAAAAAATGGGCAGAAGATATGAACAGATACTTCTCCAATGAAGACATACAAATGTCTATCAGACACATGAAAAAATGTTCATCATCACTAGCCATCAGGGAGATTCAAATTAAAACCACATTGAGATATCACCTTACACCAGTTAGAATGGCCAAAATTAGCAAGACAAGAAACAACATGTGTTGGAGGGGATGTGGAGAAAGGGGAACCCTCTTACACTGTTGGTGGGAATGCAAAGTTGGTGCAGCCTCTTTGGAGAACAGTGGAGATTCCTCAAGAAATTAAAAATAGAACTTCCTATGACCCTGCAATTGCACTACTGGGTATTTACCCCAAAGATACAGATGTAGTGAAAAGAAGGGCCATCTGTACCCCAATGTTTATAGCAGCAATGGCCACGGTCGCCAAACTGTGGAAAGAACCAAGATGCCCTTCAACGCATGAATGGATAAGGAAGATGTGGTCCGTATACACTATGGAGTATTATGCCTCCATCAGAAAGGATGAATACCCAACTTTTGTAGCAACATGGACGGGACTGGAAGAGATTATGCTGAGTGAAATAAGTCAAACAGAGAGAGTCAATTATCATATGGTTTCACTTATTTGTGGAGCATAAC